TAAACAGTCTCTTGTTTTTACCATAAACGAGTGGAGTAATTTTTACAGTAGAACATAGAGTCCATGGCATGGGAAACTACAGATTTGTGCTGCCTGGTAATCTGACTTGTTAACAGCAGCCATTCAGCATATCATGCCAGGAGGATGCAGGTGTTCCAGAAAGAAAAAGAAAGCAGGCAATTTAAGTAATTTCCCTCCAAGCGAGTGCTTATTCAACCAAGTGATGTGCAAGAGGAATGCGTATGAATATATCGAACAAGAAAAAATTGCTATAGTCCCTAGCTGTAATTGGGAAAAGAAGTGTACATTGAGATACCATTTAATTTAAGCACATAGAATATCAAATGAGAAAAAAAAAAAACAACCCACAACCCAACACCCCAAAACGACTGTTAATTATGAATAATTGTTGTTCTGATGTTATGAAAGGTGCTGTTCACTAAAAGCCTCTAATTTTCAGTTCATGGATAATAAAGAGGTGGAAAGTGTTAAATATTTCTGTATGTTTGCAGTCAACAGAAAAATTGCAGTGTCCTCCTCCCTGCTGTTACTGTTGCAGTCCTAGGTAGATACGCTGTGAAGCTCGGAATACGGCGAGATGAGGGTCCACAGGAGCAGGAGCTGGCATTCTGCCTGCAGTGGGAGAAGGCAGGAGCAAATTGCACAGAGCAGTTGGGGGGCTAAGTAAACGCTAACCAAGAGGAAACCTGGCCTTAGTTGTACCACTTCTTTCTATAAAGAGCTAGGACCTGTTCTGGCATGATGAAAGTAGAGATATGAATGACTTAAGATGTCTTTGCCTGTTATCAGCCCAAAATAAATGACATGGTTAGAACTTTGCCAAAAGTATGTATTATCTTGATTTAATTAATAGTGCTAATTTCTGTTCTACTTAGTATTGCTTTTAGCTGTCAGAGACAAATTATGTAGAGCTGTATCCAAACACATTAACCAAGCCAGATAAAATCTTGGCCTTTGGAGATTATGTAGAGTAGCAGGCATGTACACAGTGAATGCTCAGGATTTCTGTGTTGTGCTGGTTTTGGTTTACGAAGTCAAAGTTTTCTAATTTAAAAAGCAACGTAAAATCTTTCTTTGTATGAGGATGCCCCAATTTGGTTTGAAATGTGGTTTTGAGAGATGTGCTTTTCTGAGGTGTGGTGATTGATGTTCCTGGAATTTTACTTGCTCTATTCTGATAAGAACGATGGGCAGGTTGTGTTTCTTTAGCTACTGGAAATGTCAGAAGATTTTTCTTACTTATCTGTGAAGTTAGGAAGAACCCCACTGAGAGTGAGAACATGCCCGTGTGGTCAGGAATAAATCAGGTCATAACAGCTCTTTCTAATACTCCAAACTGCTAGGGCAGAACCTGCTCTGTGGAGAGCTGGGTTTTGCTATCATGAGGCTTAGTGACGTACTTCTGGAAGTGTTTACTCAGAATGTTACTTGTTGCAAGTTTATGGATTACAGAAATAAAAAATTAGTGCCAGCAATGTTGTTTTCTTTTCTTGCACTTACTTTCCTGAAGGCTCACACCTCCAAGGGCAAAGCAACACCAGTGCTTGTGGATGCAACGTGCATATTTGGGTTTCTAGTTTTGCTAGGTAGAAGGAAAAATTACTCAGTTGCTGATGCAGCAACTTGAGGTGAGATGAACTGTGGAAGTAACTTTAAGCTGCTCAAAAGCAGGTTTTTAAAAAAATTTGTGACCTATGTGTATATATATTTATATTTACAGACACAAGCTGATTCTATAAAATGTGCATGGAATTTACTTGCCCCTGTGACATGCCTGATGTACAGACATCTGATGGCTGGCTTGCTGACAGTGTGGGAAAGTAGTTGCTTGTGATGTGTGTGACTCTTATCCATCGCATTGAGAACCTAGACTGTGAATGGGACAGTAGATGCAAAACAACCTGGGGCTTCTGGCTAAGTGTGTACACATCTCAGATAATCTGTTCTTTTTTCTTTTTCCCAAATCATGTCATTCTCAGTCATTCCTCAGTTGGAGAAAAATTGAAATTTGGGTATTTAATAGGCAGTGGAAACAGTAGCACACTTTTTATGTTCATCAGATCTGTTGCAAAGCCAAGTCACTGACCTTTTCTCCTCACTCATCATGGGACTTATAAGGAAGAGCTGGGCTTTGCTCCGTGGTAAGCTTCCCGGGTGTGAGGAAGTTCACAGACATATCCTGCAAGGACATGCAGGACTCAGGCTGACCCCTGAGAATGCCAGTATTAGGTGCTTTCTGATTAATCTACCCTTCACCAGTGTGTCTAGGTGACACACTGCAGACTGTGGGCTTTTTTGGAATTCTCTCCTTCCGGCTGAAGCCTGCACAGAGCATCCCACAGTTGTGAGGTTTACAGGGGACTGAACAAGATCATAGAATCATAGAATGGAAAGATGTTTGCTCCGACTATAACTGTGGCCTACATGGAGAAGTTAGGTTCAGTCTAGGACTACGTTCATTGTGGAGGTCAGAGGGGAAGGCTGTGCTTAAACCAAGCTCTTTCTCCACCTCTTCCATAAAACCCTCCAGAGCAAGCATAAACAAAGTTCCCTGCTGCTGCAACTGAGTCAACTCAAAGATGCCAAGGCAAGCCAGGGGGAGGGAAGACCAGGGAGGAAAGAGGGGTAAGAAGGTAGTGTAGGTGCCCTGCTGTCTTAGCCACTGTTGCCCACATAAGATCCATTAGGTTTCCAAACAGCGACTCAGAAGCAGCATGGCTTTCTGAGCCTAATGTGGCTCAGAAGAGGCAGGCGTTCTGGAATGAGGCTTGATGCATATATTACAGTATTTGTCAGTGTGTGGTATCCTTTCAGGCTTTGTGGTTATGGGTTCCTCCAGTGAGGCCTATTTTATTTAGCAATCAGCATATCAGTTGCACGTGAACCTTTGTGTCTGTAGCTCCTACAGCAGCCATCTCTCCGAAGAAACCTTAAGATGTCATAATATTTGAAAGAGAAAAATATGCATTTTTTTTGCTAGCTCCTGTAATTTAGGTAGTGAAATAATTGGGTAGGAAGCATCTCTTACCTCTTGTTGAATCTGATATGAAAGACAGTTACAGCTTTTCAAACCTGGCTAAAACTATGAATTATCTTACAATATTTCAATGGATCTAATTTAGGCAGCTGTCAGACAGAAAAATTTTAGATTCTGTATGCTAGTAACACTTGCAGAGGGGTTGTGGCAGTTTTCAAAGACCTTTGTTGTTGCATGAAGTGAGAAGAACTGAACACAGGAACTACAGTGGAGATATTAGGAAAATAAGTTGCTTACATGAAATAATTATTCCTAATAGAGAGAAAGAGAAGCTTGGATGGAGTGTAATAATTTTTACAGCTTCCTTGTGAGAGACATATCAGAAACTCTAGGAGGTCTGTTACTTTAAATGTTGGTATACTGCTCAGGTTAGTGTAGGAATTATTTCTTTCCATTTCAGAAGCACTGGGGTTATAAATGTGCAAGTTTTATTTATTTTATTTTCTGTGTGAAGGACACATTCTGAGAACTGGGAAGAGCCTTTAGTAATCATGTTGTATCACTGGTAACCAACAAAGGCTATAAGGACCTTCTGTAAGACAAATCACAGTTAGAACTTCAGTACCAGTTGGGAATTGGGCTATAGTTCTGACTAGCATTTATCCTGTCTTTTGATACTGTACAAATCCTTCCTACTTAGAGATTTGACTAGCCTGATTCTCAGCGTGGGGGCTTTAACATTCTGCTTAATGTCCATTTTATTTGTTCTGATGCTCACCTGTTTTATTTTGGATGAGTTTGTTGTTATGCTTTGCCTGAGCTGAACTGCTCCACCTGATGGTGAAAACAAAAAATGCCGTCTCTCATGCAATGAGGATTTATTTGAAAAAATGTAGTCTAGTGGAAGCTCTTAATGCTGTAAGGTTATGCATGCCTTAATCCAGGAGGCCTAGTGATAATGTTCTGCTCCCTTTTACTTGGATGTAGAGCAGTTAAGGTTATCTAAAGGAGTTGCACAAAGATCTTGAATCTGCAGTTTTCATTCATGTTTCTAGTGAGATACCCAGTGGGTGGGTACTTGTGCTTCTCAAAGTCCAAATGCTGCCAGAACGTGAGGTGCAGCTGTGCTTTGTAAGACATGCATATCTGGAAAGAGTTGTTCCTGCTCATGCGCAAAAAGGGAAGTGTGGCTGCTTGGTAGCTCTTGGTCATGTTGCTGCCCAATTTGAAAGTACTTCATGGTTGAGTATGCTGGGTAGCAGAGCTTGCCCATGGGGTATTTTCTCTGCAGAATAGGAGGTAAAAAGTAAAGATTAAAAGGCTCTCTTGTGGCATTAAAAGAGAAATAATCACATAAATCTTGTGCAAGCAGCAAAGAAACAGGAAGCATAACAGAGCTTCATGTCCTCAAGTTTTTTAGTTTGCCCAGCTTTTTGCAATGCAAGGATCTGTAGATGCTTGCTATGATAAATTTGCCCTGGCACTTTCCATGTTGCCCTAACGTATAAGAGTGTTTTGCATGTGATAGCAAAGTCTGTTATCTCTGGGACAGTCATGTCTTGAGCCAGGAAAACAAAATGTACATTTGCTATCTTGAACTGATGTGGCTGGGATGATAGTTGGATCCTGTATGGAAGGATGCTTATACGTAACAACACATACTTAAAAGGGACATTCTTTAAAATATTTGAGCAACCTAGGGCCAAGATTTCTCATGCCATCGAGAAGGTAGTGGGAGATCTGCCCACCTGAGCACAGCTGATTATGTTCAGCTTGCACTCCTGCAAAAGCTAGTCATGTAAGATCATGGTGTACCAACGAAAAAATCTTTGTGAACAGGCAGGTTGCTCAAATTCATGCTGTGAAACTTTGAAGGCTCTCTTTATTGTATTCGATTTTCATAACCTCTATCAAAAATTGCAAATTTTAAGCTGTTTCTGTAGTTTTGTCCTTCACTTGTATTAACCATATACACTGATATTGCCCCAAATGGTGTGTACAGACTTTTTTTTTTTCTTTCTCAGACACCCTGGCTCTGGAATACCAGACAGTGCTGGAATGGGTATCCATATCAGGTAAAAGTTACAGTGCTGCCTAAAACCAAATATTACACCTCTGCAGAGCTCTGTTTTTATTATAGTGGAGCTTTGTGTCAATATGTTAGTGTGAATGGGCTAATTGGCATTTCAGAACATTACTAGATGCTCCCCGTTCTGCTTGAGTTCAAGATGGGAAAGATGAATATAGCTGTCACACCTATTTTGAAATGAAGCCCAGGATCTGAAAACAGATCTAGGAAATCTAACTGTGAAAGCAGACATCTGCAACGACGATAGAGTGGTCATTTTTACAAAGTCCTGATGATACTGAACGTTTTGGCAAAGCCTCAGATTCAGCAGTTGGGAAAAGTCAGTATAGTTCTCATAGCCGTTACACTGCACACAGGGTGAGACTGAATCCCTGGCAGGTGGTGTGATCAAAGAGGAGACTGAAGAGAAAGGTAGGTTTCTCCTTTAGAACTTAAATAGGCGCTATCCAGTCCTGGCCTCATGGAAGTTTACAACAAAAGAAGGTGACATTAACCAGAGAATTGAGAATGGTTTCAAGTCTTTTTTTCAGCTATGTCTGTATTTTTATGGATTTAAAAGCATCAGACTTTCTCTCTTTTCTAGGTCAAAGTATATAACTTAACCTCAAATAAAAGACTTAAGTCATTTATCTCCTCAATTAAGGAGAAGAATGCCACTATTAAAGTAAAAATGCCCTTTCAGGTTGCATCCTGCTGCACTCATTCCCTCTTTCAGTCCTCAAAACAATTTTTGCTCAAGTTTGAAATTTAGTTTCCTTAAAAAAAAAATCTTCAAAAGAACAATAACAGTATATTTATTCCTTACTGCACTGCTAAGGTTTGAACTACTTACAGGAATATTTAATTCCTAGGCCCAAGTTCTGGCCATCTTTCGCAGCAACGTGGTTGCTTCAACAGCTTGCAGCTGCTGCAGTAACACCAGGATTAACTGTAGCCCTACAATTCTGAAAACTCTTCTCTGCCTGGGGAAGAACAGGCAATGCAAGTTGAAAGGAGAAGGGTAGACATTTTTTTCTATCATTATCTGGCTGAACAGTGGCTTTGAAAGTTTGCATATTCAAAGAGCTTTGAGAAACCTTTCCTGTGCTTTCCATTAGTTTGCACTGGACATAGTTGTTAAAGTATGGGATGAAGTGAATCTGCACTAAAGGATTCAATGTATTTTTCAGGAAAGATAACTTCTGAGCTCTGCCTTGGCTGTACCATTGCTTCATTTTGCCTTTTGGTCTGGTACAAGTAACTTTCAATATGGATGTTGCAAGGATCAGTGAATTCATTAAATGCTCCCTTTTATTATTATTAATACTAACAGTAAGGTCGCCCTTTTGAGGAAAAAGTATCATCATGTATATGGGCTAGGAATAGACTTAGGAAACCCTTTTGGGAAAGCTAAGTGCCACCTGTTTCCTTAATACCTTTTGTGTAACAGGACGCAACAAGAGATCAAAGTTGTGAAGTATAATTTCACCTTTTGTTACAAATCAGACATAACATGTTTCAAATGTGACCTAGTAAAATGGTCTTAAAAATTTTTAATAACTTTTGAGGATAAATTTTGGTAGTTTTTTTAATTAGTCTGAATTCTAATTCTAAACCTGAGCACCTTTAAAATGCTTTTTAAAATTATTTTTTTAAATTCATGATCCGGAAGTCTCAGTAGGAATCATTGAGACGTTGTGCTAGGTGCTCTCCAAATATAATTGACACTGAATTCCAAAAACTCCAGCAACAGTTTGCAGTTTAACGAGTCTAACCTGTCTGGGGCATACCACTTCCTCCCTCGCCTCCCCCCCCACCCCACCCTGCGAAGGGCAGGGAGTGGAAAAAGAACCACTCTTATTGCCGGAATAGAAAGTATGAAGAAGCCCATTGTCTGAAAGACATATGAATTCCCTGTGACAGTGAATGGCCTTGGACAGCCTGAATGGGAGAACTGTGTTTAGGTTTGGGTGCTACTGTTCTTGAATATTGGGTACCTGTTAGAAATAGTTCAGGGAGATAGTTCAGCAAGAATGACCAAAAATCTTGATCTGAGGAAGATAGAAGGAATTTTGTCATTTAGTCTTAGAAGAAATTGTGACTTAAATTCCACCCCAGGAGAAGAGGATGAACTGAATAACATTAGGGAAGCAGCAGCAGAAGCTGAATGGGGGAAGTGTTGAATCTTCATCCCTCAGAGATTTTGAGAACAGTCATTTGTCAGGATTGATATGACTGTAATCACTGATGCCTCTCAGTCCTGTTTTCTACTATTTTTGTGCTATTACTTAAAACATAAGACCATGAATCTTACTAGTTAAAGCGTATATTTACCAGACTTACCAGAAGAACAAGGTCATTCAGAAAGTTAGTTCCACCTTTCAAATGGTGGCATCTAAAATCATGCTTCTAGGGGGTAGGGTCCAATAGAAAGCCAATCATCAAATAGAAGTAATTATCAAAATCACTGAGAGATAAAAATGTCTACTAAGTGCTAACCAAGATGGAGTGACAACTCTATCCATAAGCACAGCATAGTCCTATTGAAGTTCAGTCTGTGGAGAACTGAAAACTAATGTTTAAGCTTAACTTAAACAGACGCTATTGATCCTTTCATGGAGGAAAACCATGATATCTTTAGAATACCCCTATCTCTATATGGGATTAGAAATACTAATGCTACTGTTAAAATTGTCAGCTGCTTTCATTGTTTTACTAGACATTCTCTCCAGTGAGTTCTCTTGCAATAATGAATAGAATAGTCGCGGTTCATTTCTAGCTCATGTTCTCTTCCCTTTTTTTACTTACACCTAATTAAAAGCTTACTGGAAGTCTCACTAAATGAGAAAAGGATTATATTGGCCCAAGAAATGGCTTTAAAAGATTGATTTTGAGGGTATACATTTTTCATAAAGCATAAGCTTATGTCTATATTTAAATAACCCGCATAGAGCATTCACTGGGCACCTAAGGACTGTTTTTCAGCTGCAAAGAACTGGTCTGCAGAAGGGAATGGGAATGAAAGAAACAACTGAAATACCTCTTGCCAATGGAAATAGCTCATGCCCTGGTTGGGTGCATGGTTGTGCCAGTGCAAACTGCTCTAGAGATGGTTCATCTAATCCCTCAGGAGATGCCCTCAGGAGCTTTTCCTGTGCCAGTGCCCCTGTCTGTTACTGTGATGTAAGACATGACTAGCAGGGAGGCACAATCACATGGAAATTTGAGTAGCTCGTAGGACTGGCTGTCTTAGGCTTGGGGCTAAATAGCCTGTGCACGCCACCAGTTACCTTCTTTGGAGGTACCCCAGGTTGGTTTTGGTTGTGCATAAGTTCCTGTGTCTTGTTATTTTTATTTCTTTTGCTTTTGAACATCTGTGTAACCATGTTGTACATCAAGCAACGTGTCTGGATAAATTTATTTTATTTTATTTTTTCCAAATGTTAACATGTTCCCAGAAAATGGTTGAATACTTTAAAAGTAGGCTTTTTATATTCAGAAGAGTGCCATTTAAGGCTCACAACATTTTCATCATGAGCAGATGAGATTGTATACTAGCATTACTTTTCTCTAATCTGCTCTAACATTGTTTCTTTTACTATGCTTTAAACCCACATTACTGATGTACAGCAAGTTGTTTCCAGTAACCTCTCAAAACAAACTCAGAATTTAGTTTGTTTTAGCTTCTGAACGGACAATATTATAATTTTTTGGTATTACAATATTACAGTACTGTCAAGAATAAAACAGGAGAGGAGAATAGGGTGGGGAGCTTTATTTTTCTAGAGCCATCAAAGTTTGAAAGAGGCAACCATCATCATGTTTCTTACTTAGGATGCTTAGGTATAATTCAGTAATCCCCCTGTGATTAAACATGTCTCCTATAGACCTCAGCTGCCTGTAATGTCAGTTAGACTCTATTAACCTTCTCTCATCTCCATCTTTCAGCCACTGATGCCTGACCTTCATTATTACTACATAGTTGAATTGTCATTCTACTGGTCCTTAATGTTTTCTCAATTCATTGACATCAAAAGAAAGGTAAGAACAATGCGACTAAAAACATTGAAAGCTTTAAGAACATACGTCTCTTGACTTGAGGAATACCTGTATTACCTGTGCAGTGAACTGGAAATGCAGTTCTTTCTATTCACCACCCCTTACAGATAGATATTTGTCACTGCAAAACTGGTGTTGAAGTGTTTGTCTTATTCTATTCTTTGTTATGATGATGTGGGGTTTTCTGTACATGGGAAGAAGAGCCTGAAGTAATCAAATACTCAACGGGAAATAGCATCAGCTGAAAACAACCTTCTGCCCTTATACAGTGGCTTGAATGGCATTGCACTTGTAGTAGCTACAGTCTAGCTAGTAGATGGACTGTTTCTTCTAGGAGTTAAATGGTGAAATATCAATGACAGAGCAAGACTGCCTCATAAATTCACAGTATCACTTTGGTAAGCTCTATGAGGGCTTGCAATTTATTCTACAAAGGGATGGTAAAAGCACAGGTACATTTAATCTTAAAAAGTGATGTTACATTTAATCTTACCTTTACAGTTATGGAATTTCAAGTAGCTGAGCTTTGCTATTAAGGGCCTGTTAATCAAGAAAATAAAACTTTGTCCAGATAAAAACATTTTTGCAGTCTCAGTAGCAACCTGTTCCATGTTTCTTCATCCAAGTTCTCTCCTCCAAGGAGAGCGCTAGTCCATAGGAGAATAGGCAGCACAACAGTCATTCTGTAATAACCGTCCATTGAGCTATTCTTGCAGGGTTTTCTAATACTGCAAAATTATTTGTTGAAAACATTTGGAAGGATTTTATAATATTTGTATGTGTCTCTGTCTACTGTCATTTAATTAAATGAATATAGGCTATGTTAATGAAAAAAATCCCTTTTTACTAGCATTTTAGCAGGACCATAACTCTGAAAAGAGTAAATGAAGGATCCAGTATGTCCTGAATAAATTTATCTGCTATTTGGAATGACAGGATGCTCCTGGGTGTCTTGTGTCAGAGCTGTGTATATATATATATTCAAAACACCCATCTATTTGAATTTCTAAATTTTTCCAGAATAAATCTCAAGAAAACATCCACAAATTTTAAATCCATATTGGAGGGTAAATTGTAAACAAAACAACAAATTTAGGATGAATTCATGTAAATCCCTGGCTTGCATTGTCTGTAGATGCTAAACATGCTGTTAATCATGAGGTTGAAATGAGTACAGCTTCACTGTTTCAAAAAAGAGATGTAAAAAAACAGTGCTCAACAGAGCTCTATGATCGTGCTGATAAATTTAAATCAAGAGTAACATTGACTAATAATACATAAGCTCAAGGTCCCAGCAATACTCAATAGGCATTTGTTAATATATCAGCCAAAGTCCTGCAGCAATGTTACAGTTCAGATTATTGCTGCAGAAATGTATTGTGTCTAATCAGTTCCCCTACACTGATATACAGCCCCCTGCACTGTGCCACCGGTTCTCTCTTATTTTCTTTGTGTATGTCTTGAGGGAGATGAAAACGTAACAATTTTGCAGTACAGTACATCCTTAAAGAATATTTGATTCCTGACTAGTGGCTTTGCGCATGTGGAAAGTAATCGGAGGCTACCTGAACATCTCAGTTCAGCGCTGAAGTACATTTCTGAAAAGGGCTATTGGGAGGGTCAGTAACACCTTTCTCATTTAATGCATCTCATGACCAAATGCTACAGCTTTTTCCCTTATGATTTGGAGAGTTTGTTCCCATTGGTGAACTGGGCACAGAGCTAAAGCCTGCTCCTATCCATAGTACATGTGCAAGTAAATGATACTTTGCAAGGCTGTTTCTCAGTTACATATAAATGACTTGTACGTGTTAACAGGAAGACTTTGCAGCAGCCTACTGTGGAAATAGAATAGGATACAGAGGTGAGGAAGTGGATCGCCAACAGCTAAGTAGCACGCCTCTCGCAGAATTGTAGTGCTTGAACCCAGAGCACCATATCAAAGCAGTGTGCCGTGCATCTGCTGTATCTTGAGTGTCCAGCATCCAGCAGAGAGCAGGAGCACAGTATCTGCAGAGCAGCGATAGCCAGCCGGAAGTCTATCATTATAAGCACCCTGCAAGAGACAGTGGATTATTTATAAATAATCTATTAGAACACTGACCAGTTTGGACTGTGGAGATAGGTAGTTTTGTAGTGTAAACAAAATTGATAACTGGGAGGATCAGACTGGAGAAATAGGTCGGTGTGCTGGTGTCACACAGTAAAACTGTTCTGTGGCCAGAGGCAAGTGCAAGCTGTCAAGGATACCCATGAGTTGAAAAATTTTAGCACTGGGAGCTTACAGTAGTTGACAAAAACTAGTACAAGCTTGACAGAGACACTAGCTCCTGCAGCATCACATTAGTTCTCATTTAAATAGCAGGCTTAGTTTAAAAAATGGACATTTGCCAGCTAATACCAGACACTATTGTAATACTTCGTGGCAGTTTATGCAGAGCAGATTAACAATTCTCAGCCTGAGAAACCTATTGATGTTTTCATGTTACAATGAGAGGAATACTTTTATCTAAGTCTTGGTTATCATTTTAGATACTTTACATTGATCAGAGACTGTGTCAAAAGTGACCTGTCAGCCTCATGCACTGCAGGAATTCAGCCAACTGTTTTGTGTAGCCAGATTTTTTCTCAGGGTGAGGCACGGCAGGTCTTCTCTGAAAGCACCAGCGCATGGCACTGGCCTAAATGCAGTACTGGTATTGTACTTGCAGTAGCTCAAGGTAAATGTACTTGCTGTTTTCCATCTCTGTTTTATTCTTCTCTAATAGCAATTTCTTGACTTTAAAAGGATTTCCAGTTGGTTTGCTGACTTTCAAATACATGTTTGTTTAGGTCTTATAAATTCTACCAGATTGTTTTTGCCTGGCTGTAGAGGTGTGAGCAAACTATTTAGGCTGTTGCACATACGTACTGTTGGCATTAAGGCAGCAAACTGAATAGATTTTTTTATGGTTTTATAATGGCATGTTGTTTGATTCATAAATATCTACTGTGCTGCTGTAGTGAGGCTCTACCCTTAAGGGTTTCAATTTCCAAAGTCTGCAGCCTAGTATGATTTTTTTTTTTTTAATCATCTCTGTCCAGCTTTTTCCATACTCCTCTTTTGTAAAACAGAGAGAGAAAAAAAAAATCGGGGAATTTTGTTACTCTCACAAGCTCCTGATGAGTTTTAAAAGCAGTGAGGCTTATTTACATGCTTTCTGGATACCTGAAGAATTGTTTGATAGAAAAACATTTGACCAGTGTGTTTAAAGAATGTATAAAATTCCTACTCAATCAGTGTTTTAACAGGTTTGTAGAAGATCTAGGAGACCTTTGTGTGTATTCACAGCTTTTAGTTCCAACCATTTGGTAATTGCTAGAACTTCTATGGTTTACTTTATTAAAAAAAAAAGACAGCTTATATAAAATATTCCATTTTGAGTCTAGGAAATTATGTTATATTTCACTGAATCTGGATCCTAGATCTCTTACTTCACACTTGGTAAAAAAAAAAGTCATAGACCTGATTTCTTTTGTTTCAGAGGGAAAGGAATTTAGAATGTGTACATTCTGCAAGCCTTTACAAGAATAGTAGTGGTTGAAACCTTTAGCTGGTGATACTCTCCTTCCTTGAAGAAGCCCATTTCCAGAAGCTGAAGTGACTAATGCAGATGATAGTTTGCCCTTTAGTGGCACTAATGTTCCATAGCCACTTGTCAGTTTAGTCTGTGTGTCGTGTTAAACCAGTGTGGGTAGCAGAAGCCTTGATTCCAGAGGGCTTGTCTACAAGTTGAGACCCATGGGGTTTCTCCATTGTTTGCCTTGTGTTCATGCTAATGATGGTGTCAGGAGTACGTTCTTTCTTAGCCACATATTTTCATGACACGGGCACATGGTATCTTTCAGCAGTTACAACTGGAGGCTACAAATCTGCTGTAAGTAAGTGCATCTTACACAAACATACATACAATTTGAAATATATTTTAAAAATGAAAAAGGTCATTCCTGTACAGCTGCTCTTCTGCTGTGTATGGGTGAAAGTACTTGAGTAAACTGGGAACACAAGTACCACCTAGTATTATGGAGACTTGTACCATTAGTTTCTATGTATTCATTGCCCTTGTGTATAATCAAAATCTACCAGACAGCATCTTCAAAGCACAGTATTAATTACTGACATATAGAAATGCCACAAACAGGGGAGAAAGGACCAGAATTGTATCTTATTTATATCACTGCTACTTTTTTCTTAACAGTTTTCAGTGGGTTAGTCCAGCATCTCCGTTTCAGAGTTGGCAGTCAGATAACTGCCTCTTTCAAGAAACATTATCAGGGGAGTTCCCTAGACAGCATTTCCGTAAGCAGACTTGTGCAGAAGACCGCTGCCCAAGAGCATTAGGGCTGTTTAGCATTACTCCATATTGTCATGAATGCCTTGAAGGGTTCCCAAGAGGGACTAGAAATCTAGTATTTGTATAACATGCATGTGTCAGCTATGAAAACAGACAAGAATTTTCTACTTGGTTTCTTCCCCCATTTGGGCTGCCTGTGTGCTAACATAATTGCAGTTAGAAGGAAAACAAAGAACAGTGCAATAGGATTTGCAGCTGTGGCAGGTAGAGATCTAGGCAGCATTATGGCCATGTGTCAGAGCCAGTAGCTTGCTTCTAATCCCAGGGAATAAGGTAGGTGCTTTGCCATTTTGGTTACGGCATGGTGAAATGTTCCCCATGTGTGGGTTTGTAGTTACTGAAATGACTAAGGTGCCGTACCCCTGCTTGCCCTTAAGAGTCTTAGAAAAGGAAACTGCCTTTAATTCTCTTTTTGTGCAGTCTGCTTTAAGAATATGAATCTAAAGCAATGGCTTGATATGAGTGCTGAATATATTTGATTGTGTTCCACACTGCTGGGGACCAAATAACAGGGCTGAGAAATGTTGGGTGTATACCAAACTGGGATATGGTTCTCTGCTTTGTGGGTTTTGTTGTTTTGTTTTGGTTTTTTTTTTTTTCCGTTCCCTCTGCCCTACCTCAGCTTTATGCTGGCGATACTGGCAATGCCTGTTGATGGGTATGTGTAGGAAATAGGATCTTGTAGCACCTGAGAGCATTCAGTGTGAAGTGGTAGGCTGGAAGGAGGACCTGTCCCGATTCATTTACTGAGGTGGCTCAAGCTGCAGGTTTTTCCACAGCCTCCAGGTATACATTGCAGTGAAGCCAAGTGCTGGCACTAAGAGGTAGGGGCACTGCACATCCTTGTAAACAGTGGTGCCTGCTACGTGCCTGCTGCATTTCCAAAGGGAAGTATGGTGACATTGGGCATTTACTCTTCCCATTATTGGAGAGATAGAGTAGTCAGCAGCAGTAGCGGCTGCTTTTCTGGAGTTGACTCTGTGTTAGTGGGAGCTCACCAGCACTTTCTGTAGGACCCTCCTGCCCAACGCGTCGTGTCCCTGCAGCCCATTTGCAAACCAGGTGCTGCCTCTATGAAGCCTGCAGGGTTTAGTTGCAGTTTCTCCACTGTGGGTCACTTAGCTGAAGACCAGCAGGACTGGTCCACGAAAGCTGCCAGAAATGAAATGCCACCTCCCAGGATGCTTGGTGAGCAGGCTGCCTGGAGGAGCTGCTGCTTCTGACTGCCTGGATCTCTGCCTTCAGACAGCCCTGCATGAGAGCTGCTAGATCTGCTGTGGTAGTAACTTTGCACCTGGTGCATGGAGAAACTCCCCGGTCAAATCATGGCTTTTCTTCAGGGTTTTGATACTTTCTCAAGGCTGTGTGGGTAGTTCAGCAAACTACAGCAAGACTTCTTTTTAACTGACTTGGTGCCTGGCATCTCTGCAATTCCTGTTCTCTCAGTAATCAGTCTGGGAGTCTAGAGCAGGCAGACAGGTCGTTCTCTCTGCTTTGCCTGCCCCTTGGCATGTATGGAGGCATGTGATGTATTACAGGAGCTTCACTGCTCCCAGTATTTTTCAATAATAGTAAAGTGCTGGCCAAGTAACTCGAAGTTACCAATCTGGAAACCAGCTATCCTGCATCATTTGGGAGGCAACAGGTTAGATCTGAGTAAGAGGAGCTGCACCAGCTCTTTAAAGGTTTTTCTGACCCTGTTACAGTGTAGAAACAAAGCAGATTCATTAAAAACAAGCAACTAAGAAACTGGAACTGGGGTTCTGAGATACGTGAAAGCTCTCAGTTTTGCTTGGCAGGTGACAGTGAAAATTTGTTTCCTTTTCCTTTGTAGCTATTTGAACTCTTGTGAACGGTGTTTTATTTTGCATATCATATGTTGCTTGGTATATGAGACATATGGTGTAATTTGATTTGTATGTACATTTGCCTTTTCAAAGTAACTTCAGCCACAAATGTTTACTTCATTAGGTTAAATTGCTATGAACTGAGAAGTATAGATGTTATGTAGCTTTCAATAATATTTTTGCATTTTGTTAATGTACAATGATTATTTTCTTTAGACTAAGTGAAATATATAGCGTGGTATTTAATGCACTTACGTAGCAAGATCTTCAAGTAACATCATAATGCTGGGTTTAAAAAACATCCATCCATTTTTGTATAAGAGTACTGAATCTCACTGTTTGGTTCATCAGTTTTTGGTTTTGTTTTGTTTTATTTTTTTTTCTCTGCTTCTTGCTGCTCTAGGATTTTGGCATCATGTTTACACATCACATTGTAACAGTCACCTTGATAACCTTCTCTTATGTAACCAATTTGACACGAGTGGGAACCCTGACCTTATGTCTCCATGATGCGGCTGATGTTGTCCTAGAGGTGAGATAATATGTGTATCATCAGTGTCTGTACATGGTATTCACTATTCTGAGAGCTAGCATGACAATAGGTGGAATCTATTTGCTATTCAAAACAATTATTTATAAAGTAAAGAGCCCGTTCAAGATGGCAATGGTGAGTAATATAGTGTTATTTCCTTGCTGAAATATATTACACTTGTAGTGTACAGTGCATATTAGTGACTTTAGGCTGTTTTATCCCTTGGTATGTTGCTTGTACAGAGCAGAGACTGGTAAGGCATTGGATGCCAGGGCGGGTTACACACAGATTTTAAATATAACATGGTAAAGTAAAAAGCTCAAAATTGCAAAATCTGTGTGGGTAGAAGCTCCTGGTTCTTGACCCTGCTGAAATGATGTGCAGGACAAAACCGTGTCCGAAAAAATCTAGGTGTCATGGTTTGATTCTGCTGTGCTCTGCTGGGCAGAAGGTGCTGGACAACTTCTGAACGTGGGCAGTGAGATGACCTCTTGTCCCCAGGGTTTTCTGGGTGCCCATGCCTCTGCATCCAGATGCCAGTTGGCTTTGGAGAAGAAGGGATGACTGAAATTCTTTCAAGTCAAGATGGCCCATAACTTCTGTAGCAGCAGTTTAGAGATGTTGTCATCCTGTATCTGCATCAGTTTTTAGACAGTTCTGGGTGATGTTGGGATGGGGCTGTCTGTGAACCCTCCCTCAGGATCAATCCAAATTTAATAACTATTTTGTCTGAAATTATTTTTTACTAAAGCATTTTCAGGGATCCTGTTATGCAAGAATACAGTCACACTGTGTGAGTCACCTATTGAGGAGTCAAAATCCTGCCATTGTGATTCAGTAGCACTGTAAATCTGGTTTTATTTTTTTAATCTTTTTTTAATCTAGAAGGCACATGACTGCCTGAAGTAGAAAGCAACAGAGAATCTGGATTTCTCCGGTTAGAAATAATTACCTCTTTACAAGATTTTTTTTTTTTTTTTTTAATTTTAGCAGTGTGTGTAGATCCATCCTGCTAGCTGTGGGTTCACCCAAACTTTCTTCATGCCTCTTTTCTCACCACCAGACAGGTGTGCTTCACAGTGTTCATTCCAGTTCAGACTGGTGCCTGTGGAAATATAAAACCACTGGAGAGCAGCTGTAATAGGCTAGCTGAAACCTTACCTTGCACACAGCGAGATACATGTTTTTTGCTCAATTCCTCTGTTCGTTCACTGGCTAAGACGCAGAGAAATTGCTGGTATTCTCATGTGATTTACAAACACTCAGCAAATGCACTTCCCAATGGGATGCATACTTCACTGGTCTTTCTGGTCATTTTCATTCAGTCTGTTCTGACTGGAAATACTAAAGGCAGTCTGAAGTGTAAGAAAGAGAATCACAACCCCTGAGAAGCATTTACTAAGAGGGTCATTACGACTCGCTCAACAGACTTTGTTCTACTAGTGCAGTGGGTCATGGCCCCAGTGTCATATGAGAGAAGATGGACTGCTACACACCACTGACATTACTGAGGGGGAAGTCAGTGCAGAGGAAAAAAATTATCAAACTTCCAAAAAATCCCATCCTTTGATACAATACACAAATATCATTTCCTTAGTCTATGGACCACCCCTGTAAATTGTGTGGTTTTGTGCAGTCTGGGTTTTTTTCTGAGAAGACGTTTTCCAGCTGCATGGTGGAGAAGAGGTACAGGGTCACTGTGAGGTGGCCCAATGAAAATGTTAGCAATGTCATAAAAATTTGATTTCTTCTTATAGCTTAATCACAGTACAAGAGAACTCATTTGTCCTCACAGAAATAAACAGGCATTTCTTTCTTTTACAGGCTGCCAAAATGGCAAACTATTGCAAGTGTCAAAAACTGAGTGACCTTCTGTTCCTTACATTTGCCATTGTCTTCATTGTCAGTAGGCTTGGCATATATCCCTTATGGTGAGTAAGCTTATCATTTTCCACAAATGCTAAGCATCAAACAAGCTTGGAAGTAACTGTGTTGTAATTGAACATGATTCATTGACATTATTCTGTTTCCCAAAGCAGCAAGGAGAGTTTCAGACATAACCAGGTGCTGAAATAGCCTATTTGCTAGAGTGCCATTGTGTTTATTGTGTGCTAGACAAGAAACATATGGGCATTCTGCTGGTTTTAATGTAAAAGTAGATTGGAGACCACTTAGTTTCAGGTTAGAAGTTGGTTGTCTGTGTTGGCAAGAAGTTAGAGGAGAAATAAAATATTAGTCACTGAAGAAGACACTGTCCAGGGGCTAAGCTTGAAGCTAGGATCTTCTCATTAGCTTTCAGTGCACACTTTATGAACCTGGTCATGTTTATAAGGAAACCAGAAAAACACGGTGAGATAAGGAAAGTCTCGCCTGCTGAAATCAATATTAAGATGTTAGTGCCGTGCAGATTGCAGTACTTCAGGCTACTCCTTTTCCACCCCTTCTTTGAACTGGGAGGCCTGGGGAAGCTATGTAACGCATCCATCTATAAAGTAGTTATATGGGTATTGCTGTAATCTCACCTCTTCCCAGACAAAGGCAGCTGTCCTCTAGGTACACGTATGTGCATGCACACAAACAGGACATAGATGTTCTGTTCTTTAGCTAGGGTCGTCAACATCCAGAAGACAGCTGGCTAGTTAGGAAATACACTGATGTACTTCAGTCTAGAAATCCATTCAAGTTTCTCTCCAATCTGGGCCCTATATACGGAGGGCTGTCTGGGCCCTATATACGGAGGGCTGGGAGAAAGCGTTGGCCTCAGTCTTCTGTGTCCTGGATCCTTCCTTTCTTTTGTATGAACAGAACTAACCCAAATCTCTGAATCCTTATGAGAGCAAGAGAAGTCTGTCATTGCATCAAAAGATAACTGACAGTTTTGGTTTTGGGAAGCACCAAGAATGCCAGGAATGTTACCCTTCGCAGAGTTTTATTTAGAGATATTACCACCAAACTCCTTATTTAAGCATGCAGGGGATTTACAGATGCCTATATCAACCTCTCTGCCACAGTTTCCTTTCAAATCCTCTATAATTATATCTCCTTGGGGTTTTGTTAATGCAAACAGGGTAAGACCAGAGTGCCTTTAGGGAGCTGTGTCATCAGCTCTGCTTAGCAGCACAATGGTGAAGTCTCATTTGGCATTTAATGAATCCAAAAATAATGTGATAATGTCTGGTCCCTACTGCTCTGTGAGTTGGTGAAAGGCCGTGACAAAAGGAGAAAATGGAGAGACACACAAACTGTGTGTTTAAAAATGCTTGGTTTTTTTTCCAAGGAGCAATTATTTGTTTCCTAAACAGCTTTGCTTTTCTTTCCTCGGTCTTTCCTTGAAGCTAACTTGGCCATTCACTGATTTTCTGTAAATGAAGTAATCTAGTTTTTCTATTTGCATGATTTCAGATAGGAAAATAGGTGTCACTCCTGCTTGTAGGATTTCATCTGCCTGTTGCATTTTGATTTATACTGCGAAATGGAGGGAGGACCCAATTCCATCAGTGCAGTTCTGCCACTGGAGACTGCAGTACATGACTGCTTCAGGGAAGGCTCAGTCAGACAATGACTGGGTAGGTTCACAAAGGGAAAGTCATACTTGACCAGCCTGATAACTTCCTGTGATGAAATGACTGGCTTGGTAGATGAGGAAAGAGCAGTGGATATAGGTACTTTGACTTCAGTAAGACTTTCAGCACTGCCTCCCAGAAGAACCTGAGAGAGAAGCTGATAAAATATGGTCTAGATGAGCACACAGTGAGGTGGATTGAAAACTGGCTGAGCAGCCAGACCCAGAGGGTGGTGGTCTGTGATATGAAGTCTAGCTGGGGGCCAGTAACTAGTGGTGTACCCGAAGGGTCAGTGCTGTGTTCAACCCCGTTCAGCATCTTCATTAACGATCTGGATGATGGGGCAGAGTTCCTCTGCAAGTTCGCTCATGTTCCAACCTGAGAGGAACAGCTGATGCACCAGAGGGTTGTGCTGCCATCCAGAGAGATGGAACCTCAACAGGCTGGAGAAATGGGCCAACAGGAACCTCATGAAGTTCAGCAGAGGGAAGTGCAACATCCTGCACCAGTACATGCTGGGGGCTGACTGGCTGGAAAGCAGCTTTGAATAATAGAACCTGGGGGTCCTGTGGACACCAAGTTGAACACGATCCAGCAATGTGCCTTGCTGCAAAGAAGGCTGATGGCATCCTGGGCTGCATGAAGAGGGCCATTGCCAGCAGGTTTGGGAAGATGATCCTTCCCCTCTACTCAGCACTGGCGAGGCTACACCTGGGGTACCGTGTCCAGTTCTGGGTGGGAGGGGTACCAGAGAGATGCAAAGCAACTGGAGACAGTCCAGCAAAGGATCACCAAGATTGATTAAGAGACTGGAGGAAAGGCTGAGACCGGCAGGACTGGCTAGCAAGGAGAAGAGAAAGCTCAGGATGGATATTATCAGTATATATAAATATATGAATATATGAAGGGAGAATGTGAAAAAGACCGAGCCACACTCTTTTCGGTGATGCCCGGAGCCAGGACCCAAGGCAATGAGCAGGAAGAGAAACTGAAGAGAGGTTCCCTCTGAACATGAGGAAACACTTTTTCACTGTGAGGGTGACAAGGAGGGGCACAGGTTGTGCAGAGAGGTCGTGGAGTCTCCATCCTTGGAGATACTCAAAAGCCATCTGGGCATGGTTCTAGACAGCCTGTTAAAGGTGACCCAGGTTGAGCAGGGCAGTTGGGCAGGATGATGTCCAGAGATTCCTTCCAGCCTCAGCCATTCTGTGATTCTGTGAGCTGCTTTACATGTTTATCAGTGACTTCAGCATTTAAACCTCACTTTGTACTATTTGAAATAGCAAAGAAGGAACTGCTGACTTGAAATTTTTTGTTATTCAAACACAAACTTTACCAGATCGCTGCTGTGCTTGCCTTGCAAGAGCAGATTAATCTTGTCCAAAGTGCATGATTTTGAAGGAGGTCATTAGTCTTCACACATTTAAGTAGAAGCAGCTGCCCACTATGCTTTTTCTCTTGAGACATCTGAAAATCAGCAAAGTCATGATTTTCTTATGCTTTACGTCCTTACTATGGTAGTCAAGTTTTGGAAAGTCAACCCTTTCATCCTGAAGTGTTTAAAATAACACTGTGTTTATAACTGGAACTGAAGCTCAGAAACTGGAGGTTCATGCTGTCTTGAGTGATTTCTGTGAAGTGTTGCAGCCAAGTGTGACGTTATGTAGGAACCCCTCTCTAGAACTAGCCAAATTATGAATTAAAGATTGACATGGCAAGGGGGAATCAGGCATCATAGAGCTGAAGTCCATGTAAGTGTCCCTAATACACACTTCATGCTGTCTGACTGCTGGAGTCCCTGAAGAGATTACCAGCACAGTAATAAGTTATCTATAACATGTCAAAATTTAAGCCCTGCTTTACAGCTGTGGCAATTTGTGCTGGCATTCTGGATGTTCCCATTGTTCCCACACGTTAGGTGACAGCAGAACTTCCATGCCACTTCAGATAGAACCTTGTCCAAATCCTGCTCTACAGGGTAGCCCTGGCCCAGTGTGCTGGAAGCAACTTAAAATCAAAGTGAGTAGATCTGGGGAGAAGGAAAAGGGAAGAGAGCTGCACAGTTCCTTCTGTTGTTGATGTCTGCTCCCTTGGCATTGAATATTGGACTAATGAGGTCAGCAGGTTACAGCCATTGGTGAGGTTTGCTGCTGGGATGGAAAAGACCAGCATAGACTCTTGAAGGCAGTGAAGGCAGAGAGATTGTGTATTACAGGAATGCAGCAGCCAGGAGTGTGCTGTGTGCTCCTGTGTTACAGATGGAGCAGTTACACTGCCAATCCCTCTACTTCTCCTCCCCCTTAATCAACAAAAGAACGTGTTTGTTTATTTGAATATTCAAATGGTTCAGTATGGTGTATATGATCTTTGATTTTCAAGACCATCTTATTTCCAGACCAGAGCTGTGATGCGTGAGCTCCTAATGGTTACCTTTACATACACCTATAAGCATTGAGTCTGGAGGCAGTTTCATAATTGTCAACTGTACTGTGGGCATCGCGTGTGGGAGTCACGGTTAGCAGGGATGAAGCATGGGATGTATAAGCTTGTCTCCCAAATCCTTTCTCTCTATGAAACAGCAGTTCTAAATCTTCACCCTCATTAGCTTGCATGTCAGCAAAGATGAGTCACTGGAGTGGCAGCAGGCCAGGAAGCATAGTTTTCCTCTCCTTTGCTGAATATTCAAAATAGCAAAATTTGGTGCCTGATTAATGTTACATAAATATGCAAAATTTTCTAGCATAAAAACGGAGAGATATAAAATTGGTGTGCATGTAATATAAAAGGAAGACTAATTTATAAGAAAACTACACCACCCCCCACCCCCAAGGAAGGCGAATACCCAAGACAGGCTTCCACAGACGTCGCACTGGCATGCTGTTGTGCTCTGGCTTTGCACAAGTGTCACGTAATTTTGCATAAAGGTGCTAATAAAGAATTCAGAATGTATCAGATGCTGCTGTTTGAAGGTTGTTTAGCAGTGGGGCTAAGACAAAAGAAACTGGCAATTAGGTATATATTTAGCAGTCTTTCTGCAGGCATCTGGAGTTCATTTCAGCAATAATTCAAAAACCCCAGGACACTTTCTGCCTCCTGCTGCTAAGTGAATGTAGGAGTAAAGCTGCTATTTTCACTGACAAGACATTTTGCTTGTGAAATTCTCCCACTTGCGCATAATCACTGTTCTAGCAAATTACAACATAAAACACAACTCTCCATGAGTCAGGGGGAGCATGATTCCTTCTCAGGTGATACAGGATTGTAGGGAGAATGAAAGCAGTCTCAAACCAAAGAATTGATATAAATTATGTGAGTTCTCGTCTAGTCTAATCAGGCTGGGCAAAGCAGTTACCTCAAGCCTTTCTTTA